TGGTAGTGGTTTTCATATTTTGGTGGTGTTGGGGTTTATGGTGATTTTTGTTGATGGTGCAGGCGGCCGGCGCTGCAGTGGCAATTAACGGTGGTGATGGAGATGGTGGTGGCAGCGGTGGTACAACGATTGTGAGTGGGATAGCATGGGTTGGGTTGGGGTGTTTGTTATCAATTATTTTTGTTGAATGTAACCAGTAAATTGGTTCACTTGCAACCAATAAATAACATGTGATCAATTATTTAAGATTGTGAGCAATGAATTGGATATTTTGTAACCAATAAATAATACGTGTCCTAAAAATTTGAGTTGTAACTTATAAAATTTGTAATTTGAGACGATAAATAAATTGAGACTCAATTTTTTTATGTGTGATCGATAAATAAATTATGACCTAATTTGAGTCGTGACTTATAAAATTTATAACTTGCGACCAATAAATAAATTGTGACTTATTTTTTTTTTATTTGTGACAGATGAATAAATTGTGACCTGTAAAAGTTTTAATTTGTGAAATATTAATTCGATAATTTGTGACCGAATAGTATAGAATTGTGATCTCAATATATTAATTAATAAAGTATATTTTTAATTAATTATTTAATTAATATCTAGTTTTTGAAATAATAAATTTTATTTCTTAATTTTGAAATGTATCAAACTTAAATCTCTTGAAATTTTCCAAATAATATTACACATAAATATAAAGTTTTTCATTATTTTTCAAGCACACATTCTTCCATCAATCATTATTCCAAAATTTATAATTTATCGACGGCAAATAATTGGAAGCTGTTATAAATAGTAAGTAATATAAATGACAATTGTACTCATGCAGCCCTAGATATTATTACCATATATATCCATATTCATTCCTTATAAATATAGGGTTTTGGTTCTCATTATAATCCACACAACTCTATTGACTTTTCTTTTCTCTTCTTACAACACGTTATCAACATGATAGCTTTATTTTTTTTCAAAGTTTAGTATTCTTTTTAAGAAAAAAAAGGGTGAAATACTTCATCTGTATTCCAAAAGAAACTTCAAATCTAATTCGTCTTCATATCACAAACGAACTCGATGAAAAGTAATAATATATATATATATATATATATATATATATATA